TGAACACAATTAAACTCGTACTCTTTTCTTCTGTGATATACGTCACTAAAAGGTATAATTTTTGCATTTGTGGAGCCCTTTAACAAACTCGTGCTGCATGGAAATGAAGGCATCTAAAATATTATAACAAAGAAGGTACCATAATAAAGCTCAACAAAAAGAGACACATACTTCAAGTTTTGAATCATACTCGCCTCCACAAATATTGTTAGACTCCAGCCCACCTAGTAAAAAATCAGAAGAAAAACCATTAAACTGACAAGCAAATAGTAGGAGACAATTTAATAACCGAGCAATCCAAATGTGTAAATTATCCAGCCATCAACAAAGAAATTCAACACTGTAAATCTAGGTTTTGTATCATCTCATGCAGTTATTCAATAGTAGGCTGGCCCAAGTGTTTTTTAGGATATACACAGCCTTGTAGTCGTTTTATCTTGTACGAAGTCCTGAAAAACATGGACTCTTCATTGTGTATAAATATACTGTCACTCTATGAAATGCAAAACAGAGAGTAAAATTTATCTCAAAGTTTACATGGTGTCACTTATCAGAGCTTCCCTCTTGTTAGATTTCCAACATATGGAATTATGCTCTTTTTTTTTAATAACATATGACATTATGTTAGTGAATCATGACATATTTATTCCTTTAACCTTTACCTTAACTGACTTCCTCGTTCAGAAATCATATATCATATGCCTGATAATATATAGAATATATTTATACCTTTCTTCTTCTTATCCATGCATAGAGTTCTACATAAATGGCGTTCTCTTGTGTGTATGTATACGATTACTTAATGAAAGAAACTCACCAGACTAATCCATCCCAAAGTTTACAAGGTATCAAAGCTACTTTGGTTCTCCTGCTAAAATGAGTTTACCAACTGACTTCTCTACCAACTGACTTGCTATTATATATTCTCATCTCTCCTTTGCTGTTTCTAAAATAAGAAATTGTATTAGTGAAACCTTAGACTTAAAACTTCTATACATGGAAATCTTTATTTTTAGCAGTATTGAGAGGTTATGGAGTTCTTGTGTTCATGGTTCAGGCTGTAGTCTTTCTCCCCGAATAGCCTCATTTGGCAGCAGATTGACTCCCTTGTATATCCTGCATCCAAGCCACTGCATCTTTGGGTACTCTCCACAGTCTCCTCAAACCCAAATCAAATTCTCACTGCTTTTTTTTTAACACCCCTTCCATGTTCAAGCCGACACCTGTTCCCTGCACCTTAATATGAATTCAATCACACCCAAAAACATGATCTTACCATCGATGCTTAAGTACAAAAGCTCAAAGCCCTTTATGATTCTCTCCTTTCCATTCATCACCACATCCCTAAAGAAGATTTTGTCCTTCAAATACTTGGAATGCTGATTGAAAATAAAAATGTAGTAATCAGCCTGAGTTCTCATAAACCACTTCCCTCATTTCTTACAATTCAGACTGCACTTTACCTCCAAGAAATGCATCTAACCAAGCATCAAAAACTTGCTAGCTGCGCTGATAACCCTGCTCCTTTTTTCTCTCCTCTTCCTTGCTTGCTGCTCAAACAAACGGCAAATCTTCCCATCAATGTTACAGACAAAACCAATAAAAAGGCCAACACCGTGGCAATAGTCAATAATTACATCACAAGAATACAAACATGGTGGCTAAAACTCAACCTCAACCATCTCTAAAATACCACTCCAACATCAATTATTCCTCCTCTACTCCAGGTTTGCTACGACCAGCCCCCACATCATCAATGATAGTTCCTTCTATCCAGTGTCAATTCAGCCCTCAACTTAATCATAATGCTCTATACTGCCCTCAGCTTACTCGCTCTTTCCAAAGTTGTGTCGTACCTGTTATTGATAATGTCCAGAGATCATTTCCTGCTTCTAATCTCAATGATCAGCAATATAGTCTCTTGCTTCTACTCATATGACCTTTCAATCTAGTAATCTTTCTCCCTCTTCTTCTCATTGTGGATTACATCAAATCATGTTTGGAGATGGTTTAATACTGTCACATTGAACCAGTTTAGAGAGGGAGAGAAGCAGAAAGAAAGACAGAGAGAGATTCAGGAAAGAAAGTTTTCCTTCATCAAATGCATGAATTGTATGCAATCGGGTGCCAGGTATTTATACACATACTGGTACTTAACTGGAAACACTTACCTAAATGAAAAAGGTTAGCTGTTGCATCGTTTTCCTCTTTCATCTTGTTAGTATCAAGGTATTAGTTCTCTCAGCTCCCACACGAATGAAGATCCTAACCCTTCTCCTGCCACCACCTCATCAAATTTAAATTAGGATAAACCTGATAAGGTTGTTCCCCCATCCAACATCCTACCAGCAGCGATCTTCTGCTTATCAGATCTGTACAAATTTCTCTAATAAGATCTGTACAAGTTTCTCTAATACTCATCCTACACTTACCAGATCAGAAACCAGTCACCCCAAACCTATAGCTTAGAATGTTCACTGCATCTACATGTGTTGAGTAACATATTTATTATTTAATTATTTTAATTTATTATTTGGTATTATATAATTATAACTCTATGAGAATAATAATTTCAAATAATTAGAAATTTTGTACAATAAAAATTTTCCTATCAGTATAATAGAAATTTTATAAGTACTTTAAGTATAACAATTTAAGATTGAGAAATAAAATTATTATTTTTTCTCCAAAATCAACATGATATCCGATCAAGGGAAGAGAGGACAGATCAGAGGAAGTGAGAAAGCAGTCGGTTCCTTCACCACGCAAAGAGCAGCTGGTTTCTTCCTCCACCACGCATTGAGCCGTGCGAAGAGCTGTGCGAACCAGTTCCTTCTTCCTCCGCGCATTGAGCTGCTAGCCGCGACTCACCAGCCTTTCGCATTGCACAGACCCTCGCTCCGGCCATCTGCGTCATACAGACACACAAATGCCCAGACGCATAGACTTCTTCTTCTGCCGTGCGCAGAGCCACATGGAGGAAGCTTTTTTGGCCGCGATCTGCTTTGCTTTGCAGATGCGTCGCCTGCTGTGCCTTCACGCAAGATCACAGACGCGATCTGCTTCATTTTTCTGACTGCCGTGTACTGCAGATATGCCTGAGAGAGGAAGCCAAGCCCAAGCCGAGCCGCTTGTGCCGAGCCGAGCCGACTTTAAGCTTGAGCCAAGCCATTTTTTAACCGAGCCGTTTTTTAGCCGAGTTCGAGTCATTTTTTAGTCGACTTCGAGCCGTTTTTGAGCTGAACCCGAGCTGTTTTCTGAGCCGAACCGAGCTAACTGTTGCATGAAGATATAATTCCAGTTTACAGCACTTTTTGAGCATCCTTTGGCATTGGTAAACTGTAGGATGACTCTTCAGAACTTGGTTTGAGCATTCGTGATACCCTGCACCAACTTGAGGGGAAGTGTTGAGTAACATATTTTATTATTTAATTATTTTAATTTATTATTTGGTATTATGTAATTAAAAGTTTATGAAAATAATAATCTCATATAATTAGAAAAATAGTACAGTAAAAATTTTCTTATCAGTAGAATAGAAATTATGTAAATACCCTAAATGTAACAATTTAAGAGTGAGAAATAAAATTATTATTTTTTCTCTAAAATCAACATAAAATCCGATCAAGGGAAGAGATGGCAGATCAGAGATCAGATCAGGGGAGGAGAGGACAAATCAGAGGAAGTGCGAAAGCGGTTGGTTCCTTCCTCCACCGCGCGCAGAGCCGTGCGAACCAGTTCCTTCTTCCTCCGCGCATTGAGCTGCTGGCCGCAACTCACCAGCCTTCCGCATTGCACAGACCCTCGCTCTGGCCATCTGTGTCGCACAGACACACAAATGCCCAGACGCATAGCCTTCTTTTTCCGCCATGCGCAGAGCCATGCGGGGGAAGCTTTTTTGGCCGCGATCTGCTTCGCTTCGCAGACGCATCGTCTGCTGTGCCTTCGCGCAAGATCGCAGACGCGATCTGCTTCATTTTTCTGACCACCGTGTACTGCAGATATGCCTGAGCGAGGAAGCCAAATCCCAAGCCAAGCCGCTTGCATCGAGCTGAGCCAAGTCGTTTTTGAGCCGAACCCGAGCCATTTTTTGAGCCGAACCAAGTCAGCTGTTGCATGACAGATATAATTCCAATTTACTGCACTTTTTGGGCATCCTTTGGCATTGGTAAACTGTAGGATGACTTTTCAGAACTTGATCTACAAGTTAGTCATTTGTGATAACTTTACACCAACTTGAAGGGGGTGTTGAGTAACATATTTTATTATGTAATTATTTTAATTTATTATTTGGTATTATGTAATTCAAAATTTATAAAAATAATAATCTCATATAATTAAAATAGTAGTACAGTAAGAATTTTTTCATTAGTAGAATAGAAATTCTATAAATATTTCAAATGTAACAATTTAATGATGAGAAATAAAATTATTATTTTTTCTCCAAAATCAACATGTCAAATATTATAAATAATTGTGTCCACTAAAATTACCATAGAAACTGACAGTCAACAGGGAAAAAAAGACATGAAAGAAAGAGATAACTCTAAAAAGTAAGCAGAGATAAAGATATATCCAAGTATGTTAAAAAATAATATTAATATTAACTTCAAAATTTTAGTTTCATGGGATAAAATGGCCCCTTACAAGGTTCATTTCAAGATCTATCCCACTTTTCACTGTTGTTGACTGAAAACATGGAACAAGCAGTGCTGAGTTAATAAAGAATGCATCAAAACATTACCACATTTTCCTGTAAAGCCATAGTCAAACCCGTGAAAGATTTCCTCCAACACTGAGCTTTTCCTTGTATCTTCTTTACCAAAACATAAGATGTCATCCACTGAAAATTTATCAGTTTCAGGTTCTGCAAGTATATGCTCTACTTCAATTGGTTCATACTCTAACTGAGGACCAAAGGTTTCTTCTACCTTTACAAGAAAAAGTAAAATAGGATGCCATTATTCAGAAGCTTATTCAAGGAGATTACCTCAAGGAAAAAATTTACCCTACTGAGCATCAATTCAATAATTTGTTTCTAAATCACCATACACTGTTCACGTATGTATGCATACATGTATTTGTGTGTATATATATATATATATACATGCATTTGTGCTTGTTATTTGTTACCATCTAAATTCATTTTCTTTTAGCATTTTTTGTTATTTTGTACCTAAAGTAACATAGAGGTGGCTAAATAAGCAATCTAGGAATGTTGCTATTGATTGGGAGGTCTAAAAATGAACTTCCAGCATGAAAGCAAAAACTCAAGGTTGCCATTCAGTAGAATTCAGCACTTGAAAATTGGGATACGCATTATAATGGGGCTGTTAAGGAATATGTTAGGCAACTAAGGCAAGCTAGAGAGCAGCTGGAGCAGAAAATCCGTGAACCAATAATTAAAACGATGCAGGTGTAGGAGTCCACAAAGTTTGAAGTAGAGTACCAGATCTCACAACTTCCACAGGAAATGGACGATGCCCAGATTTTTGGACTTTTTCTTTCGGGTGGCTCTTTACTCTAGGTCGACTCTGGTTCTCATGTTTGGTGCTTCAGGACAAGCACCTTGTATAAGAAGGGTGTAATGTTATTGTCAATAACATAAATGCAAAAAAGCATGGTGGTGTTAAACTTCTTATGGTTTTAGCTTAGATTTCTAGCTAAGAATCAATTAGAAAGAAAACTAGAGAAGCAACTTGAATTATTTAGGACTAATATAAAATAGGAAATATGACTATAATAGGGATTGTTATTTAGAAATAAAATAAAATAGGAAATTGAGTTATTCAAGATAAAATAAAATAAGAAAGTGGATTGTAATAAGGACCAATCACATCCTGCAAAATTGAGAAACTAGTAGCAATTATCTTCCCCAATATTTGTAAGCTATTTCATCAACAAAATTATGAATGAAAGAATTTATCAAACAAAATTATGAATGAAGAATTTCTCTGACCAGTTCAAAGCCCCAATTTACTTATTTCAGACTCAATAGAAAGCAAATCCATAAGTAGATTGCCAATCTGAGATTGTACCAACATAATTTTAATGATTGATCTTACCAACATACATTATATTCTTGTTGTTAAATTGATTGCCAATATGAGTCTTTTCCTTTCTCAATAACAAATATCCAAAAGATCTCTTGAGATGAAGTGCAACAGAGAACTGCAAACTAATCTCCACAACCAGTTGATTCTCATAGACAACTAAGCGAAGGTCATAAGAACCTTCTTGTTGATCTTACTTTTTACAAGGGTGTTACTGCCTCACAATATCTAACAATGAGTCGACTTTACTTGTCATTTGTTGTAAATCAAGCCTGCCACTATATGCATGAACCAAGGGAAGATCATTATCAAGCTTTTAAACGCATAACTTCACCTATGCATCTAATAGGAGATTAGGACGCTAACAGGGTTAGTTGCCCTTGCACAAGGAGATTGACATCAGTAATTGCATATTTCTTGGCAGAAATCTGGTTTCTTTGAGCACCAAAACAAACGGAAATCTTCCAATCAAGCACTTGAGCTTAATACCATGCAACTGCAGTTCTGGTATCAAATATACATTGGTTAAAATATGCTATTTGCAACATCCCAGCATCTATTGTCACAATATTAACAATATCTAACGGCCTCTTATTCATTCAGCATGCTCAGTTCAAACATATTGAGCTTGACAATCATTTTTCCTAAGAAAGGATTTTGAGATTTTGATTATGACTTAACTTAGCTTCATGATGGCAAGCCTTTTAAATGCCAACATTCAAGTCATCCAAATGTGAAACAATAAGCCTAGAAAAGCTTTAACATTATTGATCTTGTAACAATACATACTCTATTTTGTCTACTCTCATAATACCTAATTGTAGATACATGTAAAAAAAATTATCTCAATCTAACAGATAAATAAAACAACAAACTAACAGAAACACATTCTACAAGGTGGCTGGACCGTCAACAACACGAGAGAATGCGCAGTGAAAAGAAAAGCTAAGGAGGTAGTAGCTATAACCTGTATCATGTTTGATGGTAGAAGATAATACTACTAAGGACTTTGTAATAATGTACAGAAGAAACTACTTTCCGACAGTTCACCTCCTGAACATCAAGTTTTATTCAGAAATGATTCCGGAATTCAAATGAGATTTCAAATATTCATTTGAATGAATGATGTAACTGACGACAACATTTTTTAATTTAAAAAAACACCCTCACCTTTTGGCATTTCATGGCAGCAAAATCGTTGAGCAAATGAGGATTCCGGTCTATTTCATCTCATCTTCCCAACTCAAACTCAATGTTTTAATATTTGTACCTATGCTTTCTTCCTCCCTAATACAAAAAATAAAAAATAAAAAAAAAGAATATTTACAAATTCGCTTCTAATCAACATCAGAAAGCAACATGCAAAGCATCCACTGAGACAAATTACAAAGATTTCCTTGATCACTAAACCTTGAAGAGAGGACAGCAGTTGGAATGTTAATTACCTTTACTCAATGAATTATAAAATTCCTAGATATAAACAACACAAAAAGGGGCATTATCTTTATTTTTTTGATAAGATATTCCCAAAAAAGAAAACATCAAGAACAGCATTGTAATTTTCAAGTCCCTGTATCTTATTATCTCCAATCTCTGAGATTATTCTCGGATCTTCCATGGAAATAAAAGTCTCCCAAGATGGCTCACTCAAGCTAATCCAATATTTGATGAAACTACAACAGGCACAACTTAGTGCCAGTTACATTAAGGACACATAATTTGTGGCCACAAACTGGGCCTAGGCACGGAGATAAACAGCATTGTAAATTTACTGTTGATCATGCTTAATTGAGCATTGCCATTTGACTTACTTGTGTTCTAAGTTTATTGTGCATAAAACAGGCTCACGACGCCCCACTGAAACTGTATCATTTTCTACGAATGCTTTTACTTATGTTGATACCAGCCCTTAACAGCTCAACACTCGCAACCAAATCTAGATTATTTAACCCCCAAGAAAATCTTAAGAGAAACAACTAGCAAATGCATAGCAGATCCAAGAAATGAATATGGGGGAGAGGGAAAACAAACATTACTGCCTAAAAAACGAGAAAGAGAAATGATTTATCGAAAGTTCAGATATAGAAAGAAAAAAAAATCATTTGATTGGTGAGGAAACATATATGTTATACTTGTCCATATCTTTTTAATCATTAAAACATGGGACGGAAAAGGTAACCATGAAGAGAAACAGTCCAGTGGACCTGATACAGCTGTCCAACGCAGCTAGAATAATTGGAGTCTTCTTTTTTTCTTTTTTTTTTTTTCTTTTTACCATGAAGAATGAGAGCTGAAAGAGGTCGCTTGAGCCTTGGGCTGACTTATCTAGTAAACAGAATGAAAAAGACAAAAGGAACAAGGTGAACTCCAACTTCGAGTTTCCTCGTTCATTTTCTGTGTTTTCTCGAGAAGCAGACAGGTATGTGAAAAAACAAAGCTAACTTTCGAAAAACAGGCTCATTCATCAGTAGATAAAAAACCATCAGATGAGATCATAATCTCCGACATAGCCTGGTTCATCAGTAGATAAAAACCATCTGATGAGCTCATAATTTCCGATGTTAAACCGCATAAAAAACTTGGAAAACAAATATTAATAGAGGAAATCAAATATTTAGCAAGAAAGAATCTAGATATAGGGAAATCTGACCTTGTAAAGGGAAAGTAGGGAGGGAAGTGGGAGAGGAATTGGAGCAGATGTTCGAAACTGAAAAGCCAGAAACCGCCAAAAAGCGACAGGAAGCAAGAGAAATGAAAAGAAATAAGCAGGTTCTGTGGACTGTTTGGCTGGCTCGTCGCATTATATACATATGACGGAATCGAAATAATATTTTTTAATTGTGATTGTTCTTTCTTAAAGTAATTAATGTTTGTTTCATGTCCGGTAGGGGGACAAGAGCGAACACTAACATATATATATATATATATATTCTGTCCAAAACAACTGACAGAGAAATAAAATACCACTTAGGAATCATCCATAATGCCTTAAGGTCTTGTTCGTAGTCTAAACTCTCTGTTACGGGGAAAAAAGAAAGGGTCTGAACTTGGTCGTCAGTAAAGTATGGACTTTGGACTGTCAAGCTTGCCTGCAAGTGTTGTAGCATGTCGGAGCGGTGCCAAATCCTAAATTAAATAGTAGATTTAGGTTGCTTCAGCAATTCTTTTTATACAACTTAATATATATTTAATTTAACTTTAAATTTTTATTTTATAAAAAATGATCAAGTATATATAGATCAAGTAATTTGGAACACAAGTTTTTCTTATCCTTTTTATTCTCGTGAGTAGAGAATAAATACGTCAAGAAAATATTTAAAATTAATAAAATAATTATGTTAATCTCTAAAATTAAAAAAAATATTACAGTCTAAAAGTTAAAGAGAATATCATGATCATGATCTGAGTCTAAAATCTCTCCAATACTCCCCCTCAAATTGGAGCATGAGGATCCCGAATGCCCAACTTGCAAAGAAAAAAATCAAACTGTTGCTTACCTAAAGCCTTCGTAAGATATGTCTGCAAGCTGCATAAAAGTGTAGACATATTTGGTTTGGATATTACCATTTCGTATTTCATCACGTATAAAATAACAATCAATTTCAATATATTTTGTTTGTTCATAAAAAATTTAATTAGCAACTATATGTAAAGTTACCTGACTATCACAATACAAACGCATAGGTCATGAATGCATCACACTAAAAGTAGACAATAATCCTTTCAGCCACTTTAGTTCATAAGTTATAGATGTCATAGATCTATATTCTGGTTCAACTAAAGAGCGAGACATTGTATGTTGAAGTCTTAGTTTTCTAAGAGATTGGCGAATTGCCCAAAAGAATAAACTAATCTGTTAACGATCGTCGTGTTAAAGGACAACTTGCCCAATCAAAGTTGCAATAAGCATACAATTTCAGGTCATAATCAATATGCAGGAGGATACCTTAGCCTGAATTTTCTTTCAAATATCGAACAATTCTCAAAGTTGTTTCCCAATGTTCGTCCTTCGAACTGCTGCATGAACTGTGCAAGTATATGCACACAATAAGACAGCTTAGGTCCAGTAATCATCAAGTAAATCTGGTGCCCTACCAGGTGTATATATCGTCTAGGATCGTGTAAATCAACATTATTGGCAAGTGCTAATTTATGATTTTGTTCAAGAGGAGTGCTAGTTGACTAAGTTCTCAATAGACCAGTCTTAGAAATGATGTCCAGTGCATATTTATGCCAACATAAGAAGATACCTTCTAAGTTTCATGCTACTTCAATCCTTAATAAATATTTCAGCTCCTCAAGATCTTTGATATGAAGATATCTACTCAAATATTCTTTGAACTTTTGCACAGTTGTGTCCTCATTTCCAAATATAATCAAATTGTCAATATAGATAAGAACATTGAGTAAATTGTGTTGATCTCTATAAATAAAAGGTGAGTAATCATAATATAACTACTTTAATCCATAAGTTTTTAGCGTTGCTGCTAACTTGGCAAACCAGCACCTAGGTGTCTGTCGTATACTATATAATGATTTCGAAGTTTGTATACTTTACCGGGTTTTAGGGAAACAAAACTACGAGGCATTTTCATATACACATCTTCGTCCAACTCACAATGCAGAAATGTATTATGTACATCCATCTGATGTAATTTTCATTTCTTCACAGCCACAATGGTGAAAAACATTCGAATAATGACCATTTTTGCTGTCGGGGCAAAAGTTTCATTATAATATACATTTTCGACTTGACTGTTTTTCATGATAACGAAGTGTGTCTTACATCTCTCTATGTTTTCATTCGAATTATATTTAATCTTGTAGACCCATTTGCTTCTGATTGTTTTCGTTTTATTGTTCTCAAGAACTTGTATCTCCTTTCTCATCGCCTCTCTCCAGTGTTCATCCTTTATTGCCTCAACATAAGTACTAGGTTTATGCTAAATGGTAACAGCTGTAAAAAAAGACTGATGTCACAGAGAAAATTTATCATAATTCATATAATATGTTTTAAGGTAAGGTGTATCTGAGGACTTTGATTGGAACAAGGAACATGCTTAGAGGCTCACTCAAATGGTGTGCATCACATAATCTTTCAAACAAACAGAAGGTTATTTAACCCTTTTTCTTTTGCCAAGTTGTTCATCAGACCACATAGGTCCTCCCATGTTGGTACCCCCTATCTTCTACTCCAGTATTCACATCAGTAGGCATCTCTGCATCATGACCCATCCAGTATTCACCTCGTGCTTCACATCCGAGGTTGAAGCTTCATGCTCCTATATATTATTTTATACATATGACTCATAATCGTTTATTGAGTAATTTACAACCTCATTCTCAACTGAGGATGAATCTACAATATTGTTAGCATATGAAAACTCTGTTTCAATAAAGACAACATCTCTTGAAATAAAATATTCTCCATTTTCTAAATCAACAACCTCCAACCTTTCTTTTCAAACGGGTATCCAACCAAAACGCACTTTCAACTTCGACTAGTAAATTTATCTTTATCCCAATTCCTGTCATGTACATAGCATAAACACCCAAAAGTTCGAATGTATTTATAGAAAGATACCTGTGCGTACAGAATCTCATATGACATTTTATTATCTAATAAAACAAATGGTATTTTGTTAATCAAATATCCAGTTGTAAGAATACATTTGCCCTACAACTCAGTATGTAAATGTGCTTGAAAGCACAAGGCTCTTACCACATTGAGAATGTGTCGATACTTTTTTTCTACGCATACATTTTATTGAGGTGTCCTAATACTAGAAGTTTGATGCAAAATTTCATGTTCAGCAAAATATTCATTCAAAGACGCAAACTCAATACCATTACTATCCTAACAATTTTCACATCTTTATCAAATTGTCGTCTAACCATTACGATAAAATTTTTAAGAAAACAAGCAACCTCATCTTTTCTATTTAATAAATATATCAACACTGCATAAAAATAATAATCAACAACTATCAAGAAGTAAGCAGTTTCACAAGAAATAGGTTCCCTATAAACTCTCAATAAATCACAATGAATTAAGTCAAAACTTTCTTTAGCTTTATAATCACTAGGAGAAAACACTTCTCTTGTTTGTTTAGCTCTAAAACAAACAT